TATATATATATATATATATATATAAAACTGAATGAACACAAATTCAAAAGTTTGGCGGCAATTATAGCCCAAAAAAAGTCAATAGTCTAAATAACAAAAGGAAAAAAATAAAGTTTCATGGCCTTAGATAGCCCCAAAAAGTAGAAACCTATTATTTTCGGTCATAATGAAAACTTTGGTAAAAAAAAATTAAAAGTTAATCAACTTTTTAAAACTTAAAACGAGTTAAATTACCAAATTACAAAAAACCAAAATTCTAGTGATCAAATATGAATATTTATAAGTCATTCACAAAAATAAGAAAAATATATGCTAAGACGGGTCGATATGGGCAACGGTGTTAGCTGTGATGTTAACGTGGAAGGCGTGCAATGGTGTCGTAACGCAGGTACATCGCGTTGGCTATGCCGTTAAGGGCGTTATGTGGTCTCCGGTTGCGATGATAACGAGAGGCAACGCCTCTTTTTTCGAATGTAACGTTCATATGACCGTTTGGAACGGTCAAAAGCAATTAAAAAATTACTTATTTACTTTTTCCATATAAATACACACATATATACCCCATTTTTCTCTCTTTCTCTTATTTTATTCAAACAAATAAATGTATACACAAAAATCAGCCACTTTTCTCATTTAACCAAATATGGAGCAAAACCCGAACACCCTCCTCCAAACACAAACGCATCCGCTCTGATGGGGTTCGCACAATACGGGAGTTTATGAACCTACTCAACACAAACTTACCACAAATACCATTTCAAGGAAACCTTTTTAATCCCAACTCACCCCAATGCAATTTCCTACATCGCCTTACATGCAACAAAACCCAAAGCTTCAACAAAACTTTTTCAGTATGTTCGCTTCTATGCCACAAACAACCACACAACCACCACCCAGACAACCAACACAAGAAACTGTTACCGAAACGCAAGCGGGCGGCAGTTGAAATGGGAGAGGGAAAGGGAAGGCAGTGCGGAAACTGAAGAAGAACCACCACTATGGTGGACACCGAAGTAGAACTACGCGTTGGCGGTGGTGTGGTGCGGGATTTCAAAGAATCCAACTATAGGAAATAGGGTGAGCAGCGGAACAGTGTACCCGCATTCGGAACCGAAACCGCCTCGGAACTGGTGGTTCTGAAACTGGAACTGCCTTAAGCAGTTTCGGTTTCGGTTCCTAAAGTTTCAGAACCGCCTTATGCGGTTCCGGTTCCAGTTCTCATTTTTTCGGAACCGCTACCCGATGGGTAACCGCCGGAA